GGGGCCTCGGCCGGCAGCACCGGGCGCGGCCCCTGCTGCCTCAGCCGAAGGCGTCGCAGTCTCGTTAACGACGCCCGAAAACGTGAAGTTTGCCATTATTGGGATTCCAGGGGCTTGGAAGTAGCAAGGCTTGCGGAGTGCTGTGGGATGTGCCCGGGAGACGATAGGCAGGGTCAGGCGACCCGGTGCTGATCCCGTTGTAACCATGGGGGTTGGCCCCCGAAGCCCGCCGTGAGGTTACGGAGCTCCGCCAGCTTTGGCTGCTCCGTGGCCTGAACTCTTCCTGGGGTTTTTTGCCTCAAGCAGTTACCCAACAACGCTACTGGCTGTTACTCCTTCTTGACACCTTGTTCACTTCTTCGGTTGGTTGGTTGCTTGGGTGGTTTTTTTAATCTAGACTTCTCAGTAGGGGAAAACTTACTATTTCCAGTTCTGGGGAATAATAATTAAAGCAAAAACGGGCAGTTCTGCAAGGGCGGCGGTTTTTAAACAGTATCCCACAAACCTGTAGCACCACTTACTGCTGGGGAGGTGTTTGCTTCCCCAGCTTTGAAGGCAAGAAAAGGAGGAGGGGGAGAGTCTGAGGCGCTGGGATGTTCCGCTCTCAAAGCGGCGTTTCCGTAGGGCTTCTTTCCAAGAGTTCCTTGCTCCAGCTGATCTCCGTAGCCTCTTACGGCCCCGGTCATGGCAAATCCCTGCCCGGTCCCACACTCGTGTTTTAGTAGGAAGTCCTTAAACCCTTTACCCCAGGTGCTTCTCCTGGGTCCTGCTTCCCACCCCCTGGATGCGGGCGAGGTTTCCTTTGGAGCGCTCCACCGTGGTAGGGGTGGAGAAACCTCGGGAAGCACAGGTAGCCTTTGTGTCTTGGAGGCACGTGGTATGCTGGCCCGCCGTGGCTTTTGGGGAAGCGGTGGGAGGGGGTGGCCCACAACAGCTTTACTGGTTGCCTCACCCACGCGATCGTTCAGTCTCTGTGCTGCCTTTTGTTTTCGGTTTCTAACAGCCTGTTCTCTCTTCTCCCCTGACCCACCACAGAGTTCTACCTTGTAAATACTGTTATTTGTATATACTGTAAATGATGACATCGGTGGGCACTAACCGAGCCCGGGGGAGCTGGGAGCAGACACAGACACAGAGCCAGACACAGCACAAGCAGCGGCCGCAGGTAAGGGCAGCATCCGGGGAAACCAGGTAGCTTGGAGGTGGAGACCTGGCACTCCTGCCCGGCCCAGTGCTAACGGCTAACGAACATGCAGG